ACAAACTATGGCGAAAACTTCACTTTGTTTCATTGCTATTTGTATTGTGGTACGATAATTCATATTTACTTGCATATCATATCGAATGAGAGGTAACAAATACACTGTAAAGACCTCTATATCTGAGAGGAATATTGCAGATTTGCGAAAGGATATGAAAGTACATCGAGACCATAGATGTCGTGCTCTCAACCATCTGTTGGACCTCTTGATTGGAACACCAGTCAGAGACAGAAAAAAGAATACATTGAATGGAAACGTCAAGAAGATAAAATGGCCGAGCCTTCAACATTGTGTTTATCCATGATTCCTCTACAGTATTTAGGGTCTGGAATTACTGTTGAGCCTTTGGAATCAGTTCTTCTAATTGGACTTGAGGTTGATTCAGAATTTAATAACAACAATCCATTGAAACTAACTGTCACGTCCCGATATTCATTAGGATTCATTTATGTCGAATCATACATAGATACAAACATACTGCACATAAGTGGCAATAACAGTTGTCAAGTACGAATACAGACAGATAGTGTTACTAACATGAATGCTGTTCTCAAACATGTGGTTTACACTAGCCAGGAACACCATAAAAGACAGAGAGATTACATTGATATTTCATTTCAAGACATCTATAATGTTTTTATGAATGTTCTCATACAAAGACAGCATGTTCCGCGGCTATATGATCCAGGACCTGGCAATGATATCAATAATAAAGTGACGATTGTGGCAAAGACATTTGAACGGTATGACTGTGTCAATGCACTGATTGCAAGCGTTAATAAGTTCTACCCAAACATGACAATAATAATTGCAGATGATTCTGAGAACAAACAAAAACTTGAAGGTAATAATGTGAAACATTATTTGATGCCATTTTTAGAAGGTTATGCTGCTGGGAAGAATTTGCTAGTAAGCCAGGTGCGCACAAAATATTTGTTATGGGTCGATGATGATTTTGTTTTCACAAAGGACACACTCTTGGAACGCTTTGTAGAAAAGTTGGAATCCCCCACAGCCGATTTAGACTTGGTAGCTGGATATTTAGTTTCTCGAAAGGAACATCCCTGGGCGCATGTTAGTTACATAAATGATGACGATGGTGGCTGCATCTCCGAAAGTGATACATCATATGGCACACTGAAAGAATTTCCAAACTGCAAATTGATGGATATTGTGACAAACTTCTTCATGGCAAAGACAGATGCTGTCCGAACAGTTGGATTTGATTCAGTGTTCGAACGGATCTCACATCGTGAGTTTTTTGTAGATGCGTTGGGTCACTTGCGGATAGCAGTTTGTGATGATGTTATAATTAGACACGATCGACGTTCCAATGAGCGCTATCGTAATTACAGAATGATACAAACTCAACAACGTGAAAGTGCGCGATATGCTGAACGAGTATTATTTAAGAACAACCTTCGATGTTTCCAGGCATGGACTCAAAGTTTTTTGGAATTCGAGAAATACAATACGTTCGAGCTGAATTCAAGTGTTTAATTTAACTGAACGTATAACAATGTTGTATTCAGTCAGTAAAATTCAAAATTATGAATTACGCATGTGTTTATTTCTAAAGTAATGCATGCAGCGTCTTCGTCCTTTGTTTTTGCAATGAGTCTAATTACGCACAACTTCGTCATTATATATATATATTAGTATGCCATTTATGCAAATGAATACCTTCTTGAACAGAGTGGAAAGTTTGGTCAAATTGTAACATGCTGGTTTTGGCATGGAGGACCCTGATTCGAATATGTAAATCGATTATTAAGATATTTATTTGACTGCGATATTAATATAACAAACGGGGCAGATTCGTTTATTTCGTGGCAGATTCGTATGTCTGCCTTTCTTAATAGCATGGATTGAAACTCTGTAATATTAGATTCATTTTACTGACAGATACGGTCCCGAGATATACGAGAATAATCGCTCAAATGATCCCACAATTTTGGACCTACTTTGAAAATCAATATTTAGACACCGCTGTCGAATTAAGTTTCAAAAAACGTGTTCTTTTATGTAATATTTATCACGATACAATTTTCTGAGAAGTTTCGAGAGACTATAAAATTACACATAACAGTCAAGAGTTCGGCAAATAACAGATAGTCTAATAACACACACTACATCGTCACCGTGTAATTTATTTATGAAAAAACGAAAACAAAAATAGATACAAAATGTAGCTCTGGCAAACTCCTACAATCATTATCAGTTAGTCTTTCACTACCCAAAAGACGTAGTTTAACATTTGCATACATTTAATTTTTGATGTAGTACAAAGTATGCCTGCTTTGCCGAATAAAAACATAGCTACCAAGTTGGCCCTGTTAAAGACCTTTTAAAATCTATACATTCACAGTAGAGCCTAAGTTATAAGATTTTTAATGAACTAGAGTTTGAAAAATTAAAATTTATATAGAATGGCGTGTCCGGTTTTGAATCCTGCTTGTTCGTCTCGAGTTTATTTATCCCACTTATTCAACCTATATCTAGTTCTCTATTTTACTAATGATAGCTAACAGCGTTATGCTATGTTAGTTTCTTACCATACCCTTGGGGCCCTTTTATTGAACTAAAGCAATTATTCCCCCACACCAACTTGGTCTTAATTTACCGGTTACGAAATTACAATTGAAAATATGAAGAAGCAGATACATTAGAATATACCTGTAGAAATGGGAGTTTCTGGGGGGAATAACATGTGACTTCAAATTATATATATTATATGAAGTATAGGTGAGAATATTCGTATTTTGATGGACTTGTGATACATTAGTGTGGCTCAGGAAATGTAATGATGTCTCCATATCACGTCAAATATTATTGTATCATTAATGTATTTTCAATATTTGGATTAAATAATGACTGGTAATATTCGAACCACTCTGTTGAATTTGTAGAGCTAGAGTCATTCAAGTCCTTCCAAAATGTCATTTTCATGAGTGTCTTATTCTTTGCGAAAGATCACCATCCTGTCGATTCTGGTACTCTCTAGTTTACAAGCGTTTTTTTCACTACATACCCCTCATCTTTGTAAAAAAAGGAAACATGGTGATAATTGCGCGGCATTCACAATTCGATTCTTGTGTAATGTTCGTACTCGGAATGTTGCTTAATGCCCCGGAAAATAAAGTTACACCTATGACCGCTGTTTTCATTCCTTAACGATTTTATTTCGTATTCAGTTTAGGTCGTTTTAAACTGAATTCGTTTCATATTTGAACTAGTAGTTTTTGGATATCATGAAGTAGTGTGTCGTCGATATTGTTGATTTTTACACGCATTTCAATAAAACTTAGCTTTAAGATCTTTCGAGTTGTTTGCCATTTCCTCGAGAGAATTTATTAATATTGGTCACTCCTTCTAACGAGTGGTCCGTTTGTCGTTCGCTGGCGTGTTTGAGGCTCCGGGTTCATTTCAACATTGCTACTGAATAGTAGAACAAATAAAGAATGTTAACAGTCGTCACGCTGCATAACAATATGGGTTATGTATAGGTCTCTGTTTCCCTGACTCCAATCTCCACTTCTAAAAAGTCATTTTCATTCTCAATTGAGCTAACCCTACTCCAAACGTATTACCAATCACTGTCCTATACGATTACTTGTACTATTTTTGCGTGGTATACCAATATTCAGGTTGGACGTCCGGAGCATCGGTAAAAGAATAGTTGCTTAAGCGATATGTGCGTTTGTTAGGGTAATAACATGTATGGCATTTTACTGTTCATTTATACATTTCTGAATTCTTCTGAGAGCAGCGGCTAAGAAAATATGTTTGACGCTTGAAAACAAAGAGCGACATGTGAATGTTATATATTTGTTTCGTCCATCATTGATTTTGTTCAAAGAATACGACATTATTTGCATGTATTCTTACCAAGCAAACAAATAGGATCTTTAGAAATTGTCAGAAGACGTACAATTATTCGAAAAATACGAGCTTCCATCATCGCCTCGTAAACTCCATATAGTCGTGGTGACTGTTGTCGCCTTATAAATTACGCATTGCCAAGCAACACACTATAATGTCCGATGCATCGTGTGGGGGCGCACTTGAAGATACATAAATTGTTATCTTGTGGCGTTGGAATGTGCAGCTTCTCCGTTAATGGCCATAGCATATTACCCTTATGTTTATCGGAGAAACTAGGTATAGATGTAAGACAAAGCTCGTAGTTTTAATGTGCATTGTCGAGATGATTTCTTTCAGATAATTTAAAATAGAAAAGGGTTCCATTCCATCTCTAGTGTCAAAGTTGTCTAGACCTTCCATGGTAGTTCGATCAGTGGGATGTTTTTTTCATCTCTATGCTTGATTGATTCAATACAAGACGCGTTAGTATCCTTAAAATGTGTGACAGCAGCACAGATATACAACAATTGTAATGTGTATGTCCTGACCTCTATGAACACGCAGTATGTATATCAAATTACTTAAAACAGCATATATCTGATCGCCGGGCAATTAAATAGCAGCTAGTTCTCGCAGCCATGCATTTAGATCGATCTAATAGTTTATAATTCCAAGTCATCGGATATACAGAACGAAATGGGACAAAAATGGGTGAGGAAACTTGTGGATGACGGACTTCGGCTATACAGAGATCAGGAACCCTACGAAGCAGTTGTGAAATGGAAGAGGGCCGTGGCCAAGGCAACAGACGGACGAGATAAATTCGTTGCGCTGGGTTACTTGGCGTGGGCCCACTGCGAATGGGGTAAATACAGAGACATGTTGCACTACTCCGTGCAGCAAATCGATGTGGCGAACGAGACGAACAGCAACGAAATGAGAGCCGAGGCATATCTTAACTTAGCGCGAAGCAATGAGAAACTGTGCGAGTACCATAAAGCCATTTCATATTGCAGACATTCGCTGAGTCAGGCTACGAAGAATCCCAAGACGCTGGGTCAAGTGTATCTGTGCCTTGGTAACGCCTACCTCGGTTTCAGCGACTTCCAGAAAGCACTGGAAAACATGCACAATGCGTTGCATTTAGCGCTAAAGAACGAGGACAGAAGCTTGGAGTGTAACACGTATGGAAGCTTGGGAGACTTTTATATTTTGCTGCGCGACTACGAGAGGGCGTTGCAGTATCATCTGAAAGGTGCTGAAATGGTGGCAAAATGCGGAGAGGACTGGAGTGTTAAGTTTCACACACTTGCACGTCTCAATCTAGCGAACCCATATCGTAAACTACAGAGACTGAACATTGCACTCGAGTGTACCGAGGTAATTTGGATTTATTTTTTTCTCTGGAAACAAAATAATGTTGATACAGTTCGTAATTGTTTCTCCGTGTACGGTCGGGTTTACTTCAAGATATCCATTGTTCGACCATGTTATACATAATCGATAACTGATGTTATTAGTGAGTTATAATAATTTCTGATCGGACTAATAATCCAAGACTATGTGATTAAATAATCTCATTAATACAACACGATTGGATCACCCCCTCCCCTAGACTTTACAATGTGACAAATTAGTCTTTTTATAGTCAGTAAATGATACTTAATCGTATTTTACTTAATTCTTAGTAACTAGTTGGACCTTTATAGCGAAATCTGTGTCCCGTATTGTTGATACTTAAATTTCAAAAACTCAAAACAGGTTTAAATAATATCTAAGTTTATTTCGCTAAAATTGTAACTTCGGCAAACGTAAAAGTCTCTTAGTTAAGAAACTGACGAAATGTGATGTTTCTGTCGATATGTGTGCCTGTATGTGTGGGTGTGAGATAGTACGGTTATGAAATATAACCGATGGACCCAAAAAACAACACCCACTGCAAGCAAGAGTATGGCCGGCATCCCGGGGTCGGAAACCGGACGTATAGTTACTTTAACTTGGGTTGAATTATTTAGGGAAACCTAGGGGGTATGACATCCGATGTAAAAACTCGCATTAGGATTCTCACGACTGAGAGCCTTCGAGACAAATGCGACGTCACTTGGAGCCCAACGACCCATATCATTATCGCAATGTCTCAAAATGGTGAGGATTTAAAGAGTGTAATCGTAGTAGTTAAAATGGCAATAATTCGTATGTGTTCTGTATAACCGACTGCACCAAAGAAAATGTTTATATTTCATTATATTACCATGTACTTGTACGATACCCCCACTGGTGATGGAGAGGCATTTTGGATTAATAAAACTCGTAGTTAACCTCGAAATATTTTTATTTTGTGTCGCCTACGTCGCTACCTCGATCGTATACTCGAATAAAACATTTTGTCGGAAACATTATATGGGTTATATGGCGTCTTCAGTAATGATATCGACTTTCTGACTTGAGTATCATTCACGTGTATATCGTATACGTACAGCTGGTCTAGACTTGTGAAAAGTGCAATGACCTTGTTAAGCTATTTGGATAGATGTTATTTCTGAACACACAAATGTATAGATAACTAACATGTGCAATCGGAATTCTCATTAAGTTGGGACGCAACTCAAAATAAAAATTGTTCGTATTTTTTTTTTACACATATGATATTTACATTAATGGAGATAGAGAAATAATAATATAGGGTCACTGCACAAGCTTCTATGAAAAATGATATACACAATTAATAGAAGAGATCACACTATGTTGAAATGTTGTCTGATTTAAATAAGGTGCTCTATGTTTATCATTTTAATTCATTATATTACATATTTGTTTAAAAAGCACACACCAATGACAAAATAAAATATACAGAAAACAACACTCAGGTATTGTCAATTAATTAATAGTTGTCAACAGAAAGTAGAAGAGCAAAATTGCTTAATTCTTCAAACAATTATATATTAAAATAGAGAGGGATTTTGGTTAGTATCACAGAGTTGGCAAGTAATTGCCATTACATATTTAAGCAATAACCCCCGCCGAAGGCGGGTATACCACGAGATATTGCATAATTCACGACATATATGCACGAGCC